GAAAACGAAAAATTCAGCTTCAAATACTTACCATAAACCCATCACTACAGTTACACACATCAGCATCTTTGAGTTCAGCTTGCAGCAGCAAAGAGTTAGGTACTGTCAGAAAAAAAGAGAAAGCAAAGTTTGTTGCTACAAATTTCTGGATTATTGCTCAAAATATCCATGTCTAGAGTCTGGTTTAGAGCAGCTCCATGATAAGAATGTATTTGGGATTTGTTATCATTTGGGCAAGCATGACAAGATAAGATCTCAACAACTATATTAGAAACTTGCACAAGTTCATTTACACTGCCTACAGTGCTGCATTGATTCCTATCTCTTTCCTGAGTTATTTCACTAACAAAAGGGTCATAGCAAATGTACACAGAGCCAAGAAGCCTACAGACATTAAGTCCCTCCTTCTCCCCAAAGCCTTTATATAACAAAAATTATGTGCAGTTGATTGTGGCTTAGATGCATTGCCAAAAGAGTTTTCATCGACTCGCCGTTTATTCACATTGCAGCATTCTCAAATTCACTTTGTCTATTTTTAGAGACAGATAATAAACATTTATGTGATCAAAATAAATAATACAGGACTACTGAAACATCTCAAAGGCTTTGCTCTTCAGAATGCCACCAGCTCCTGACAAGGAAGTACACTCAGCACTAGCCACACTTCAGGTTTCAGCCATTTATTTTTGACATAATGAAAATGCCTTCTCTCCGAGTGCATGGCCGCTCTTCCTCTCTTACGTCAGAGTCTACAAGCTATTGAGGGTAAAAGATGTATGAGCCTGTTCAGACTGAGAGCCAGCAACTTAGTCAGTATGTTTCTTTTTTTAGTATTTAATATCTTTCCTGACTAGAGCAGATTTAGTGTGCTTGGAAGTTAACGCTGAAGTATTTGGACTGCCACTGTTTGAGCGACAGTGACCACTGAGAAAGGACAGCAAGTCAGAATTTTTGCTTGTTCTACATTTAAACACATTGTTAAAGAGACAGGATAAATACTTTTTCTAAAAAGAATCCCACCCATCAGGCCACTGTGCCACCATTGCTGCTCAGCGGACACGTCTCTGTAACCACAGCTGCTCACATTCCTTTGTGCATGCTTACAGAGTGCAGACTGGAAGTCCTAAAATGAAGATGAAAAGGGGAAAAAACTTGGATTCCAGATGAACGAAGAATCTGAGGCAGCAGCTGCTTAAATCTCTGGAAGGGCTTATCTAAATAAACCCGAGAGATTAATATATTACACCATTCCTAGATAACCTATCAGCAAAGGCATTAACTAAGAGTTTGGAACACAAGTAAAAGCATTCACCACTCCTACTTTCAGCAGCCCAAAACTGCAGCCAAGCCACACGAGAGCACACACTGACATCAGATCAGTCCTTTCCAAAGAGCTTTTCAGAACTGCATTGTTTTCTGCAATCAGCAGTTCTAGGCCAAATTCTATGAATCCCAGCGACCTTGTCTTTTATCAAATAAAATGTGGAGCACTGATGAATTGAATGGAAACTTTAACTAAGCTCAACAACAGGTTGAGCATTCCATGCTGGGATATGCAAAAGAACAAGGCTATTCTGTAAAAGTACAAGCAGATATGGAGTAGATTAGATTGTCTGTAGCAGCATCTCTGAAATTCAATCCTTTCTTAAATCATTTCAAAGGCAGATGGACAGTGTTTTGCCAAGTCTGCAATTTGGTGGCAATGAAATTGCCTCATGAATGTGAAGTTAGATGACTGCTTAGAATTTCATATATTTGTGAGAGAACAGAGGCAGAATTATCTGAGGTCTTCTAAACTGCAAGAAAAGAGAGGAAATTGGCTACATGCTGAAGCATTGACAAAAGGACAAGTTGAATCTGTTTATAAGAATGCTGGCAGAAGATTTAAGTGCCTTACAATTTCAAATCAAAGGCCTGCTGGTAGAGAAAAGCTGGAGAGAAAAAAAGAGAAATCTGAAAATACTTACACTTTGCTTCTGATATGAAATAGAAAAGTGGAGCTGAGAAACTAAGACAGGAGGAGGAATATCAGGAATTTTTATACAGGTAAGTACATCTGAGCTCAGATTTGCAAAAAAATTAGGAGATAATGGGAAAAAATAACTGTGGTAAATACATTTGAAAGAATCCCTTAGCATATGAAAAAGAAATTACAGGCTATTTAGTTTTGTATGATAGCAAGGATATTTCAATACTTAGTGGTTTTACTTTGGCATGATGACTGTTAGAATACTTGCAGTATAAGCTGTGCAAGCTACTTGTAGTTCACTTTGCAATACTACCCTTCAGTGGTTTTCTGTGTTATATTTAAAGGAGAGACTTTATAACATATTTTACTACAGTTGGTATTAATTTGTGAAGAGAGTACCTGTGCAAAAGATGGTAACCTTGCTAGAGAATGGAGCTAAAATGTATTTCTATCTTTATAATGATACAAACATCTCATTACTCTTGATATGCTATACTGGGTACATTTCTACAAGGGAGACAGGGAAAAGAAGGACATGCCCAGCCATCTTCTTGCTTGGAACCTCAGCATCCCTGCAGTTACTAAACATTCATAAGAGCATACAAAAATGGCAGATCAGTTCTGAAGAAAGGGATGAAAAGCCTAAAACAATTTCTAAAAGGACTCAGAGTTCTGAAATAGATGTAACTTTGAATATCTGACTTCAGCACTGTGATGGAAGAAGTTCCTGTTCATTGTCACTTTTAACAATAAGGCTTTGTAAACACAGACTACCTGATTTTGATTTGAAACTTTTTTTTTCTGCATTTACTTGCCTCAATTTCACCCTGCTTCAATGCCAGGAGAATAAGAAAAATCGACAGGATAATGTTTAGGTTTTCAGACTCTCATTTTAGAGCTCAAAGCATGTTCATACACTCACTCATGGCATGTTTGCCCCACAGGTTTAACCTACTGCCTCTTCAAAAGTCGCTCAGTGGTTCAGCTGATGCTCACCTTGGGTAGCAGCTTCATACACAATATGTGTGTCCAAATCCACCTGGCTGAGGTGGATCTGGACACACATATTCTGTATGAAGGAATGCAAGGAATCCACCCCCAGCTTCCCTCTGCCATGCCTCAGCCAAAAACAAGGCAGCCTGGACCAGAGCACTGCAGAATGGTCCAGTCTGTCCTGCAATATCTGGACCTGCCTGCTTCCATCACCTCCATCACCGTCTGGTGACTCAACAAATATCTGGGACATATTTTTAGAACTTGCTTCAATCCTCTCCATTTTCTTTCATCACAATCTTTTGTCTTTGCTCCCTGCTGCTTTCATTATTTTACCTATCGCAAAACTGGAACAGTAACTTCAGATTTTGCTAGTCTCTCTTTTTATTTTTGTCTTTTAATCTTTTCCTTAGTTTCCCATCCTCTCAAGCCACAGCACAAACACTTGTACCACCCCCCAGCTTTTTTAACTACCATTTCTCCTCTCTATTTAATCTCTTTATGCACAGAAATAGCACTCTGTGTCCTGCCTTGAACTGCCAGCTCCCTTCATACAGCTAAGTAACTCTTGAAATCTGTCCCCTTTTGGCTTCTCTGACTCTGCACTATGATAATTTTTTCCTGCTGTCTTTCTTCTACAGATCCCTCTAGATTTATTGTGCTTCTTGGTGGGAAATTCAAAATACATTTTATTTTGTCTCCATCATTCTTGCCTTTAAATTATCTCAGGTTACCCTTACCTGCAAATTTAAATTTAACTACTCTTTTAAAGCAACTAACAGCCCTACCACAGCATCCCAAACCCATTGCCTCCTTGTCTATCTGACATCTCTTTATTAATGACCAGCTATCAACCTTTCAAATTCTACAAAATTAAAACAGGTGTCTTGATATTCCCTTGCACCATCTTTTAATCTGATTCACCAGCATTTATCTGCCATGTTTGCTTATAAATATAAAACACATTTGGTCTCCCCCCATTTATTAAAAAGGCTGCTGCAAAGACTGGCCTTCTACTACAAATTTGTATCCATGCCACCCCTCTCTTTTCATTCTTGTGCTATTGGGTCACTTTTTTGTGTGAAACACAATCTACTTGTGTTTATTCCTCGTGCCAAGAGCATCCAATTCCCCATTCAGCAATTTCCAGTAATTCAGCAGCAGAAAACTCCAAACAACTTCTTGTCTCACTCTCCATATTTTAACTGCTCTACCTCTCAGGTGACAAAGTAAAAAATATCCCCATCATTCTCCAGGCCAGTCATAAAAAAAAAAAAAAAAATCCCTTATTACAGAGCCTTGGAAAACCTGATAGTGCATCTTGTTAAGATCTATGAGTACAGGATACCTTGACTATGATTTTCTTGTGCACTGCACTTTTTAGCACCTGGTGTTTCATTTTACTCTTCGATCAGCTTGGCAGGGATGATCATTGATGCACAACTCCCACTTTATGATGCTGTGTAGGGATGTTTTCATAGGGGGGGACACCTGGTTGCTGCTCCTTGTTCATCTTTGAGACTGGTTCTTACTCATGTTCAAAGCTGGTCCTAAAATGCCTCATGGGAAGGAGAAGGGGAATATAAGGATTTTTTATAGTGATGGAGGCCTTCATAAAGAAAATACAGTCTGGAGAACTGACACAAGTGGCACAGGAGAAAAGGGAAAAGTCAAGTGAAGAATCTTTTCACCAAGAGAAAAACTGGACTCCCAAAAGGGCTTCTAGCAAAAAGTCACTTCACTTCTTCTTTGTGCCCTTCTCCCTGCCCTAGCCTTGCAAACATGAGTTGTTCTAAAGGCAGGAGTCACGTTCATGTTCACAGGTTGTAAATTATGACAAGTAATTCAGAATCTATTGTCAGAACCAGAGAGCAAGGTGACGAATGAGGAGCTAAAAAACCTATTTCTGTTCTAGACATATGTAGGTATGTAAATAATTGATTTTGATGGTTTTATTCTAAACTGATGTGCTTATCAATACTGTTACTGCTACTCCAAGCAACTACAAATTCTGTCCAGTTCTTTTCAGTGTATGTTTGTCTGACTCTTTTGGATTTACAGGATCAGTATCACCTCTTGAGTTGCTCGCCATTTTGAACTAAAAGCTTAAGGTATTTTTCATACTCTTTGTGAAACAGTA